GTGGGGTCTTCCCGGACCGGGGCACGAACCCGTGTCCCCTGCATCGGCAGGCGGACTCTCAACCACTGTGCCACCAGGGAAGCCCCTATAGTTTGTTTTTAAAAGAGGAAAATGTGGGACTTCCGTGGTCAAGTGGCTAAGACTCCATGCTCCCAATGCCGGGGGCCCGGGTTCCATCCCTGGTCAGGGAACCGCATGCCACAACTAAAGATCCTGCGAGCCTCAACTAAGACCTGGCGTAGCCAAATATAAATAAGTAAATAAAGAAATGAGGAAAATGTAGAAATAGTAACGAGGCCTTTTTGCACAGAAGTGATTATGTAATCAAGACTGCCACCTAGTGGAGTTTAGGTTCTATTTCTGTTTGTACACTCGATAGTGAAAGGATTCCAATGAAATAGTCATTAACATCAAAGCCGGATATGTGCAATGAAAGTAATCAGTATATAGACATCAAGATTATATTCATTATTTTTTTTCTATCTCATACAGAAAAGAGTGAAATGTTAGAGTGGTTGGAAGTTAAAATTTTGCTTCTTGGTATTTGGCCTTTGTTGTGGTGATCATAGGGGCTATTTGTTTTCTTTTTCCAGGTTTTTAGCAGAATACCATGATGACTTTTTCCCAGAGTCTGCCTATGTTGCTGCCTGTGAGGCGCACTACAGCACGAAGAACCCCAGGGCGATTTATTAAGGTTTTGATGGTTCTGGAAGAACAGCTTCTCTATCTAGCTTTGCACTCTCCGTTCCTGATAAAGAACTAGGGAGTTGGTGGGCCTTCCTTACAGGCAGAGCGAATGCGACACTCGACACTCGCCTTGGGGGTGTGTGGCAGAGGCAGGCCCATTTGTTTGAGTTGCTTACCTACCGTAGTTATTTCTGTTAAGGATTACTTCCTAGGTACCTGAACGGCCTCCAGCATGTGACCCTTGCCACGGTACATGTCATCTGTGACGGCGGGAAACGAGCAGCTGTGTTCACAATGAAATGTTCATGAAAGTGTGCGTAGGTTGGGCTGTTTCAGTAGACGGAGTTACTTATTAGCAATAACCACATTTTTTAGTTATTTGTTAGCATTAAACAAAATTGTTTTTGCAAACCGTTTTCATTCTTGTGATGAGGCTGAGCAACAAAACATTAGTTTTGCTTGGAAACCGGAAAGTAGTCCCAGAATATTTTAGAGGGGGTTGATATTGATGGCAAAAGAAAATTTGCAGCTATACCTTTGCTTGTTACAGTTCCTTTTCTATAAAACCTTATTTTTGGTGATCTAAATAAAGCATTGCCTGAATGTTTGAGATTTTATAGCTACACTTGGTTGTGTAATGTTATAGTTCCCTTTCTGTAGGATGTTATTTTGGGTGGTCTCAAATAAATCATTGCCCATCTTGCTGGAAAGAACCAAGAGAGAGTTTTCACTCTGGTCTTGTCCTCTTTCTTCATTGTAGAAAAACAGCAGGGTAACTTTGATTCATAACTTTTTTGTGTTTTATTTTGTTTTCCCTTTGTGACTTTTTTATTAAGGACTTTTGTTTTCCTTTCCTTCTTTGATTTTGCCTGACTAGAAGGTGGTTACTGGAAGTTGGAATAGCTCCTCGCTGGTTTGGGGCCAACATATTTATCCTCTTCCAACATTACCAGCTGATGGTCTCTGAAGTCATCCTTCTAATCCTCACTAAGTCTCTCACATGCCTGCCCTTTTCCCCAGGATATTTTAGAAAGTTCCAGCTCTGTTTGAGGGATACCAGTACCATACAAGCCTTGAACATAGCATCTGCATTTTCTCGTAGCTCAGTTTAGTTGACCTTAATTTCCAAAGATCACTGGACATGAACGGCAAGAGCCACAGGGAGTTTCAAAAGCTCTCTAAATGGTTCCATCAAAGAGACTTCTGTATACACTGACCCGTGAGAATCAGAACCTCGAAGTCGAGTAATGTCATCTTAGTGCACATAGTTGCTAAGCAAACGTCAGGTTTTGGCTTCTAACCTGGAGTAGCATTTGGGTTCATGCTAGGTTTCATCTCCGTTTGGTTTATGCAATGCTTGTTTAAATCTGGTGCACCTGCAGTATGCTCTGAATTGTTGAATAAGTTAAATCAGTAATTATTCATGGCCTGGAAAAGAAAAAATTTTTCTTTTATAAGAATCTCCTTGTTCAATGTCCCCAATGAAATGAACGCAGACTGTCTCTTGGAACATTTATATGGTTATATACCTTGAGTTTACAATTAATGCATTTTCTAATAATGAACAATTATTTTCTTCCCCTAAAGGCATTTTTTTGTCTGTGTGTGGCTTGCGCATGCGGGATATTAGTTCCCCGACCAGGGATCAAACGTGTGCCCCCTGCAGTGGAAGTGCAGAGTCCTAAGCACTGGACTGCCAGGTTCTTAATCACAACTTCCCTTAAGCTGATTATTGTACCTTAGGTTTGATTTAAATAACTGTTCAAAGTATTATCCCTTTATTGTATATTGCTAATAATTTTTCAAATAATTCATCAGTTAAAAAAATGATTTAAATGTCTAGACTGGACTTCCCTGGTGGCGCAGCGGTTAAGAATCCGCCTGCCAGTGCAGGGGACACGGATTCAAGCCCTGTTCCGGGAAGATCCCACATGCCGCGGAGCAACTAGGCCCATGCACCACAACTACTGAGCCCGTGTGCCACAACTACTGAAGCCCACTTGCCTAGAGCCCGTGCTCTGCAACAAGAGAAGCCACTACAACGAGAAGCCTGTGCACTGCAACGAAGAGCGGCGCCCGCTCGCCACTAGAGAAAGCCCGCACACAGCAATGAAGACCCAACGCAGCCAAAAATGAATAAATTTTTAAAAATTAAAATAAATTTAAAAACATTAAAGTAAATGAATTTAAATGTCTAGACCATCCTTATAAAAATTATACATTATCCTTTTTTTGTCAATTTTTATATTGTTACTTTCCTAAACTGCCAAATCTTGCAGTTAAGTATCACATCATTGGATTAATGTCTTCCTTTTAAGTTGTTTAAAGATGTATTGAAAATATTTCTATAACTTGTGTGTCATATCGGTGTACTAGGACTTTGAAAAAAACATGTGAGAAGGAAAGAAACATTTCTGAACAGAAGTAGATTGTAAAGCATTTCACAGTACAGTGTATACAAAAAAAGAAAAATTTACCATTTTACAAAAGTTGACGTCTGTCATTAGGTTATTTTATCAGCTCTGTAAACATTTGAGCAAGTGCAATTACCCGGTTTTGCCATTATTTTCTTAATGACTCAGTGGCCCCTGCCCTTTAACATTTAGCCAAAGGTAAGTTTATCTGAACGTTTATTGACAACCACCTAACTGTGGTACCAAAAACTGCTAGGTATTGAAAGATTAGAATGAGTAAGGCGTTGGTGGGGGGATATAGTTAAGAGAATCTATACAGTCATACCACTGTTATTTTTACTAACCAAGTTAAGTTAGGAAGTGTGTTACTTTAACCAGTTCTTAATTTTAAAAAGTATAATGTAACCATAAATGGCAACATTTCCCCAAATTAAGCTCGTCCAAGAAAGAATGGGTAACTCTACTCTTTTAACTGGTGTGTGGATGTCAGTTTAGGTGAGTTTGATTACTAAGTTTTCACTAGTTATAAAGTCTGGCAAGATGGTGTTAAGGGACTTGGTATCCATTGGGAAGAGAAGTTTCAACATTAAAATTAAAAGCAGTAACAGGGAAATCGTGTTTTTATACCCCAATGAGATAAGACTCCCCAATACACCAGTTAAATTTTTTTTTTCTTTTTTAGGAATTGGAGAGACACTTTTTTCTAGCTTCTGCTTGTCTTATGCTTGAGCCAGATTCTTCCAGATGTTCATTCGGGACAAACCCTTAGATAGTGCTTTTTTTATATACATTTATTTATTTTTATTTTTAACTGTGTTGGGTCTTCATTTCTGTGCGAGGGCTTTCTCTAGTTGCGGCGAGCGGGGGCCGCTCTTCATCGCGGTGCACGGGCCTCTCACCGTCGTGGCCTCTTTTGTTGCGGAGCACAGGTTCCAGATGCGCAGGCTCAGTAGTTGTGGCTCACGGGTCCAGTTGCTCCGCGGCATGTGGGATCTTCCCAGACCAGGGCTCGAACCCGTGTCCCCCGCATTGGCAGGCAGATTCTCAACCACTGCGCCACCAGGGAAGCCCTAGATAGTGCATTTTTAAGCTGATTGAATTATGTTGGTTTTACCTAGTTTCAGTAAAAACAGGATGCTATTCTCTGTGTCTCTTTCTTGGAATACATCTTATAAACTCAAAGTGAATTTGTAAATGGCCATTTCTTTGCTTCAACTTTCCCTCTGATTGGTGTAAATAGCGGGACCAATAAGCAGAATATAAGTCCCCCGTGAATGTTTTCAAGGCCTGGGATGATGTGCTTACCCAGCTCCACTCCCTCTGTACATTGACTGGTGCATCAAATAGGAGGCCAGCCCAGATCACCTTGCTGAGATTATACATGTTGCCAATGTACCTCTGGCATCGAAAGCATACATATTACATCTGTCCTCAGCAAGGAATACAATTATTATAAATGAGTGAATAAGCAAGAGTTCATGTGTTATTGAACAGTCGGGTTGTGGACTCAAGGGGATGGTGGGGATTTCTGAGGACAAAAGGAAAAGCAATGAGGGATCTACTTCAGAAAAAGGGGATTGGGGCATGTTTGCTGGGTGACTTGCGGTGTAAGCCTTCCCTTCATCTCTGTAGGAGACCGCGGCCAAAATATCAGCCATTCACTTCATGCTTGAGGAGATGGATTTGTGCTTATGACCTTCTGTGGAGATGGATTGCCAGGCTGAGACTTGCCTCCAGTCAGGTGGGGAGAGAGCAAGGATACCCCAAGAGTTGGTAACATCAGGTTCCTGTGTTCTTTCACTCACCAAAAGGGGTCCAGGAGGAGACAGACACAAATGGCCACATATTGTATGATTCCATTTATGTGAAGTGTCCAGAAGAGGCAAACTATAGGAACAGAGAGTAGATCAGTGGTGTCAGAGGATCGGGAGAGGAGGGAATTGGAGCTGACTGCTAATAGGTCTGAGGTCTCTTCAGGGTGATGGAAATTTCTGGAATTTGTCGTGATCGTTTTCCCACTCTATGAATTTACTAAAAAACACTGAATTTTATACTTTTAAAAGGTGAATGTTATGGCATGTGAATTATATCTCAGTTAAAACAGGGAGATCTAGGGATTGGCTATGCCTAAAACTCAAAAAAAATACACAATGGAAATCCATTTTTGAGAGCTGAAAGGCTGTTTGATCTAATACTCCGCCATGCCTTCTTTCATGCCTCATTGCCCAAGGCAGGCAAGGCTCCTTTTCTCACTCCACTGACTTCACACTTCACCTGAAGGTCAGAAGATCCAGGGCTGTGCCTTCATACAATGTCCTTCTTAGGCAAATAGGGAGTTGGCAGATTTCAAACTTCTTGGACTCCCAAATCCTTCTGTATGCCAGGGCATGAGGAATAACTACATACTGATATTCTGATATAAGCCAAAAAAGGTTAACAAACAGAGAGATTAGTGACAGCAAAAGTAATGTGAATTAAGAATAATGCAAACCATAGCCAGTTCATCTTTACAAGTCTTCCTGTTTTCGAGTTTCTTTGCAGCATCAATCTTCATCCTTCCAGAAGGTCATAAAAAAATCATAGGAGGTAAAGTGCTCAACTGTGTTTTTCTATTGATTTTTACTTTTCTCATTCAGATTTACAACTTTCAGTGGAATGATTTAATAAGTCATCTAGGAGATCTGCTTTGGCACAAGGTAAATTACACCAGCCTGCAAGTTCTATTTAC